TATTGAATTTACGATTGGGGATAGAACGTTGATGAATGAAAATCGCGTTTCTTGTCTGGTTTTAGTGCCTTCATAAATTTTTCTTTTTCTCGCTCAACATGGTTTAGGCATCATATCCTCGGACGGGGGCTTGTGGCAAGACAACCGTCGCTTCACCATGCGGGTTTTGAGAGATTTCGGATTCGGGAAGACGGCTGCCTTGGATTCAAGACGCGGCACTCGGTCTCTGCCAATATTTAAAAGAGAACAAGCACAAGCCACAAGACTTTGGCCCTCGTCTCAATCTTGCCGTCCTCAACATCATCTGGAAAATGACTGCCGGTTTGAAGATCAAATCTACAGATACGTTATCGTTCATTTAAAATATTGTTGATGCCATGCCATTTCTGTCCTCAGACAAAACATTCTCGCACGACGACTCGAAGATGCAGGACTTAATGAATCGATTAATGCAAATGTTCAGCGACTTCGCCCTCGTCGGACCGTTTCAATGGGTCCCTGCGTTCATCTACCTCTGGCCGCCTGCACTTCGGGCCAGTCGACGCGTCGATCACAATATGGCCGCCATTAGCCAAATATTCTTGGTGAGCATTATCACACCTGTATTTATCCACTACCCTATGAGGTTCTACCATCACGTGACATGGAAGTTTAAAAAAAAGGCAGTGGCGGATAAAACTATATATGTGCATATATAGTTTTTTGGGGGAGGAGGGGGGCGATGGTTCCATAGTTCCAATCGCGGCCACCGCAAGTCTTTAGTTTATTAGCGTGTTCTTTTGCTGGGAAGAGTTCAGAAAGCGATGTGGCAATTGCTTATTTTTTTAACTACGTCCGGGAGGGTGTCCGAACATGATTGGTATTTATCTAGGTGAATTTTGATGGTTCTGATTCTAATATAAGTCTGCATTATACGAGGTATATGGAAAACTATATGCAAGATATATGTGCACAGCTCTTCACTGCATACCTACAAAAAAAGAGAATCCCAGAATCATGGAACAACGTTACCGTGATCCTCCTTCACAAGAAAGGGGACTGAGAAGACCTCAAGAAATCCATACAGACTCATCAGTTTATTACTCTTCCTGTAAAATTTTTTATATAAGTACCTAGCAATCGCCTCCAAGGAGCCCTTGACTTCGCCCAACCGAGAGAACAGGCCGGCTTCAGTAGTAGGTTCAGCACCATGGATCACATCCAAATAGTCAAAGTAGTCCAAATAGTCAAAGAGTTCTTGGAACGAGCCGAGGAGTACGAGATGCCAATTTGCCTAGGTTTCATCGACTACGAAAAGGCTTTCGATTCCCTCACCACCACATCGATGTTCAGAGCGCTGAAGATGCAGAACATCGAGGACACCTATGTTGGTCTCATCAAGGCCGACATAGGTGTCTACGAGGCCTACAAGGCGACAGCATCTGTCCGACTACATCAAGACACGGAGAAGTTCGAGATCGAAAAAGGCGTTCGCCAGGGTGACACTATCCCCCCAAAATTCTTGCTATAAGTCTTCGAGATCCTTGACTGGGAAAAGAAAGGAATCAGGATTAACGGAGCCTACCCGAGCCACCTGCGCTTTGCCGACGACATCATTATCTTCGAATCTACACCCGAAGAACTAGATAATCGAGTAAAGGAACCCGCAGAAGCCAGCAAAAACGCAGGCCTCAAGATGAACCTTGTCAAATCAAAAGTCATGTTCAACAAACATATCAGACCCAAAGAAATCGAAGACACAAAGCTTCAACAAGTTGACAACTACATCCACTTAGAAGAGCAAACATCTTCAGACAACAGAATTGCAGGAAAAATCAAGAGAAGAGTGAAGATGGGATGGAGCGCTTTCGGACGCCTCAACTCGATCTTCAAGGGCGACCTGCCTATCTGCCTCAAAAGGAAAGTCTTCGACCCATGTGTACTCCACTTTCTCACATATGGATGTGAGACATGGACACTGACGGCAAAAATGCTAAAGAGACTCCAGACGACTCGATGCAGCATGGAGAGGTGCACGTTGCGAGTCACGAGAAAAGAAAGGGAAAAGAAGGAACGGGTTGGAGCACAGACGAAGTCGAGCGACATCATCGAAAGAACAAAAAAATTCAAATGGCAGTGGGCTGGCCACATTGCAAGAAGNATGTATTTTTTTTTGTTGTGGGACATATTTGTCCCACGCTGTATCTCGAGAACAATGGGAGATATAGCCTCCAAACAAAGTTTTTTGGAATCTACACGTCATTTTCACCCTAAACACGTCATTAAAGTTAAGGTCGCTGTCCCACAATGCTTATGGTCTTGAAAGGGTTAATAAGGATAGAAATATGAAAAATCATGTGGCAGATGAGGTCTGGGACCCTAATTCACCGAGCTATCGTGGTCAATAAATTTTAAAAGCTCCTGTTCCAAAAATTTCCCAGTTGTTCTGGGTTACTTTTTCAGGTCAATGTGCTTCTCCGGGGCTTACTGTGATGCTTTGTGAAATTCACTTGGGGGGTCTCACGGTCGAAGTTTCATAATAATCAGGAACATGGTGGAGATGTGTTCCCAAATTCGAAACCCTATCGAAATTCAGAACTTATTTCAGATAGATGGAAAGATGCTAAAAAAAAAATAGAACTGATTGCCGATCTAATTGAATGCATGTCGTCCAGTGCCTAATGATCAGTCTAAAAATTAAATAGAAATGATTCTATTGAATTTACGATTGGGGATAGAACGTTGATGAATGAAAATCGCGTTTCTTGTCTGGTTTTAGTGCCTTCATAAATTTTTCTTTTTCTCGCTCAACATGGTTTAGGCATCATATCCTCGGACGGGAGCTTGTGGCAAGACAACCGTCGCTTCACCATGCGGGTTTTGAGAGATTTCGGATTCGGGAAGACGGCTGCCTTGGATTCCATGATTCAAGACGCGGCACTCGGTCTCTGCCAATATTTAAAAGAGAACAAGCACAAACCACAAGACTTTGGCCCTCGTCTCAATCTTGCCGTCCTCAACATCATCTGGAAAATGACTGCCGATTTGAAGATCAAATCTACAGATACGTTATCGTTCATTTAAAATATTGTTGATGCCATGCCATTTCTGTCCTCAGACAAAACATTCTCGCACGACGACTCGAAGATGCAGGACTTCATGAATCGATTAATGCAAATGTTCAGCGACTTCGCCCTCGTCGGACCGTTTCAATGGGTCCCTGCGTTCATCTACCTCTGGCCGCCTGCACTCCGGGCCAGTCGACGCGTCGATCGCAATATGGCCGTCATTAGCCAAATATTCTTGGTGAGCATTATCACACCTGTATTTATCCACTACCCCATGAGGTTCTACCATCACGTGACATGGAAGTTTAAAAAAAAGGCAGGCATAGGTGGCAGTGGCGGATAAAACCATATATGTGCATATATCGTTTTTTTGGGGAAGGGGGGGGGGGGGGGACGGTTCCCTAGTTCCAATCGTGGCCACCGCAAGTCTTTAGTTTATTAGCGTGTTCTTTTGTTGGGAAGAGTTCAGAATGCGATGTGGCAATTGCTTATTTTTTTTACTACGTCCGGGAGAGTGTCCGAACATGATTGGTATTTATCTAGGTGAATTTTGATGGTTCTGATTCTAATATAAGTCTGCATTATACGAGGTATATGCAAAACTATACGCAAGATATATGTGCACAGCTCTTCACTGCATGCCTACAAAGAAAGAGAATCCCAGAATCATGGAACAACGTTACCGTGATCCTCCTTCACAAGAAAGGGGACTGAGAAGACCTCAAGAAATCCATACAGACTCATCAGTTTATTACTCTTCCTGTAAAATTTTTTATATAAGTACCTAGCAATCGCCTCCAAGGAGCCCTTGACTTCGCCCAACCGAGAGAACAGGCCGGCTTCAGTAGTAGGTTCAGCACCATGGATCACATCCAAATAGTCAAAGTAGTCCAAATAGTCAAAGAGTTATTGGAACGAGCCGAGGAGTACGAGATGCCAATTTGCCTAGGTTTCATCGACTACGAAAAGGCTTTCGATTCCCTCACCACCACATCGATGTTTAGAGCGCTGAAGATGCAGAACATCGAGGACACCTATGTTGGTCTCATCAAGGCCGACATAGGTGTCTACGAGGCCTACAAGGCGACAGCATCTGTCCGACTACATCAAGACACGGAGAAGTTCGAGATCGAAAAAGGCGTTCGCCAGGGTGACACTATCCCCCCAAAATTCTTGCTATAAGTCTTCGAGATCCTTGACTGGGAAAAGAAAGGAATCAGGATTAACGGAGCCTACCTGAGCCACCTGNGACACGGAGAAGTTCGAGATCGAAAAAGGCGTTCGCCAGGGTGACACTATCCCCCCAAAATTCTTGCTATAAGTCTTCGAGATCCTTGACTGGGAAAAGAAAGGAATCAGGATTAACGGAGCCTACCTGAGCCACCTGCGCTTTGCCGACGACATCATTATCTTCGAATCTACACCCGAAGAACTAGATAATCGAGTAAAGGAACCCGCAGAAGCCAGCAAAAACGCAGGCCTCAAGATGAACCTTGTCAAATCAAAAGTCATGTTCAACAAACATATCAGACCCAAAGAAATCGAAGACACAAAGCTTCAACAAGTTGACAACTACATCCACTTAGAAGAGCAAACATCTTCAGACAACAGAATTGCAGGAAAAATCAAGAGAAGAGTGAAGATGGGATGGAGCGCTTTCGGACGCCTCAACTCGATCTTCAAGGGCGACCTGCCTATCTGCCTCAAAAGGAAAGTCTTCGACCCATGTGTACTCCACTTTCTCACATATGGATGTGAGACATGGACACTGACGGCAAAAATGCTAAAGAGACTCCAGACGACTCGATGCAGCATGGAGAGGTGCACGTTGCGAGTCACGAGAAAAGAAAGGGAAAAGAAGGAACGGGTTGGAGCACAGACGAAGTCGAGCGACATCATCGAAAGAACAAAAAAATTCAAATGGCAGTGGGCTGGCCACATTGCAAGAAGAAAAGCCCAGCGACGGACGACGGAAATTCTCAACTGGATACCAAGGGATAAGAAGTAAACGACGCCTACAGACGAGATGGACTGGCGAAATGAAGAAATTCCCTGGACCAACGTGGAAACGAACATCCGAGGACCGAGAAAAGCGGGAGCTTCTTGGGAAGGCCTTCATCCTGCAGTGGACCGAGAAGAGCTGATAATGAAGGTCACATTTGCAAGCCCTGAAAGAACGGAGATTAAAAAAAAACGTGAGGACATTTTGAGGGCGTATATCTAAAGGGCTCTCCCAGGTGATCACACTAGTTTCTTTAGTTTCACCAAAGCATTTCATAGGATTATTTGCCATTCATCATCTCAGCATGAGAAAGTTTTAGCAAATACATTTTGACAATTTCTCGTACTCCCCATGCTCCAGAAAATAGAAACCGGATTGGGAGATCTCCTTCACTTGCTTTCAAGGAATCGTTGTCTACATTTCCGGTCTACATAATATTGCAAAGACCCGAAGAGAAATTATTATTTGGTGCTTCCAATTACATACGCGCTTAGTAGTTTCTGAATCTGTGAACAATCTAGGAAGAGGTGAGAAAACACAAGCGAGATCTGCCTTCGTCCAGCGGAGCAAAGGACTACATCGAAGCCTACCTCACTGAAATGGAACAGCAGAAGTCACGAGGAGAAACCAACCCAAATTTTTCTGGTAACAGGACTGCAATTAGTAATAGAAAAAATTTTGGAAGGAATGATCACAAATCGGAGTGATTTCTATTCCCCATAGAACTCCAATTGCGAGTGAACATCTCGGATCTGTTCATCGCTGGAGACGACTTCCAACACGATTCGGTGGTGCGTCCTTTTCCTCCTCTGTCACCCTGAAATTCAGGAGAAACTTCAGGCTGAAGTTGACAACGTTGTCGGGCGCGACAGACTTCCTTCCCTCAACGATCGAGACAGGTTTGCCGCCAGACTGATCATCTTAATTAATGTGGTTTTTCTTCCATTAGGAAATGGGCAGAAAACTGTCACTGAAAAACGGCTGACCATAAAGAGGCAAAGTTGCGCAAGTTGACTTCTTTCAGGATGAATCATTATGTCGGAAGTCTTCAATTTAGGATTCTAATGACGCAGAATTCGCGAAAGTGCACTTCAAAATAGTGCTGAGTTCCAGAGGCTTTCACAACCTCTTAATCATATCGCGAATATGTTTTCGGTTGGAATCGCTGCTCAATAATGATTTTCAGGTTTAGTCCCAGAGAAATCGTTTTCTTCTCATAATTTTCGTCACCTTCGCTTTGCTTCTTTATAAACGTATTCGATTATATTTCTTCTCTTTATTTACATCATTCAATTGTGTGCACGTTTCCCTCTTTACGATTTGTAGTCTTCTAAGTTTTCATGGTTTTTTTCCCCTCGACGAACGCAACAGAATGCCCTACACCGAAGCCTTCCTAATGGAAGTCCAGCGCCTGGCGCGCCTAATACCCCTTGGCGTGACTCATGCGGCCACTGAGGATGTGGAAATCGACGGCTATCAATTTCCCAAGGTGATCTCATTGTTTTGGATGCGCAGCAGTGGAGCCACTTGTCTCAGGAGGTTTGATGATGCTGCCGGTTTAATAGGGGACGGTGTTCATGGCGAGCATATGGTCTTGTCACTCGGATCCCAAGTACTGGCCGGACCCGGAAAAGTTTGATCCTGGAAGATTTCTCAATTCCGACGGGACCTTGAAGACCAAAATTCCCAGCTTTCTTCCTTTTGCCCTTGGTATGTCCTTTCTATCCGATAGAAGGTCATGATGCATGATGCAGTATGGTTTCCTAACTGCACTTCGTGCAATAGGGAAGCGTCAATGTCTGGGCGAATCCTTGGCACGCATGGAGCTTTTCTTGTTCGTGACCATCTTCATGCAAAAAGAAGGTCATGATGCATGATGCAGTATGGTTTCCTAACTGCACTTCGTGCAACAGGGAAGCGTCAATGTCTGGGCGAATCCTTGGCACGCATGGAGCTTTTCTTGTTCGTGACCATCTTCATGCAAAAACTCACATTTCGGACCACGACGGGACGTCCTCATCCCAAAGCCGAGAGCGTTGACAGTTTCGCTGTGAATCCTCCAAAGCCTTTCCAATTCCTCATCGAGGAGAGAAAGGAGTAGAACGGGAATGATCGATATGCACCACGTTGGGAAAATATTGATGTCCTTCAATACTTCTTCACAGACATCACGACAATATTGTAACAATGTTCTAACATTGGCGTCAACCCTGTTACAATTATCAATTACATGGAATGTGAATCCCTAACTCTTTTCACCTTTCTGGAGTATTTGTCAGGAGCTACAAGAACGTGTTTATATGGCTTGTGAATTCGTGTTTCATTCTCTCTGTGTTGTGCATGAAGATGGTCACGAACAAGAAAAGCTCCATGCGTGCCAAGGATTCGCCCAGACATTGACGCTTCCCTGTTGCACGAAGAGCATAGTAAAGGAACCATACTGTATCTTGAGCCATGACCTTCATCGGATAGAAAAGGACATACCAAGGGCAAAGGGAAGAAAACTGGGAATTTTGGTCTTCAAGGTCCCGTCGGAGTTGAGAAATCTTCCAGGATCAAACTTTTCCGGATCCGGCCAGTACTTGGGATCCGAGTGACAAGACCATATGTTCGACATGAACACCGTCCCCTATTAAACCGGTAGCATTATCAGACCTCCCGGTCAAGTGGCTCCACTGCTGCGCATCTCAAAGCAATGAAATCACCTTTGGGAATCGGTAGCCGTCGAATTCCACGTCTTCAGTGACAGCATGAGTCACGCCGAGGGGTGTTAGGCGCGCCAGGCGCTGCACTTCCATTATGAATGCTTCGGTGTAGGGCATTCTGTTGCGTTTGTCGAAAGGAAAAAGCCATGAAAAGTAAAATATAACTAACTAAAACGTAAAGAGGCAAGTGTGCACGCAGCTGAAGGACATGTAAATTAAGAGAAGAATTGGAAACCTCAACGAATAGAAGCCAAGGGAAGGTGACGAAAATAATGAAAATAAAATATCTCTAGGACAAAACTTGAAAATCGTTTTTGAAGAGCGATTTCAACCCAAGATATGATTAAGAGATAGGGAAAGTCCCTGGATCTCGGCACTATTGTGAAGCACACCTTTGCGACTTTGGCGTCATGTTTGTTCTAGATTGAAGGCACCCTACATAAATCGTTCTCCCTTGAAAGAAGTACTTGCGCAACTATGACTATAGTTAGCCGTTTTTCAGTGATCATCCTTCATTTTTTTCCGTTTTCTGACCATTTTCCTAATGTAAAAAATACACCATGAATTAGGATGATCCGTCTTGCGGCAAACCTGTCTCGATCGTTGAGGGAAGGAAGTCTGTCACGCCCGACAACGTTGTCTATTTCAGCCTGAAGTTTCTCTTGAATTTCAGGGTGACAGAGGAGAAAAAGAATGCACCAACGAGTTGTGTTTGACGTCGTCTCGCTTCCAGCGATGAACAGATCCGAGATGTTCACTCGTAATTGGAGTTCTATGGGGAATAGAAGTCACTCTAATAGATGATCTTTTCTTTTCCCAGGTTTTGGAAAATACTTGTGCCATTGCTAATTTTCGTCGTGGTACCGGAAAAATTTGGGTTGATTTCCCCCCGAGACTTCTGTTGTTCCATTTCGGTGAGGTAGGCGTCGATGTAGTCCTTGGCTCCGCCGGACGAAGGCAGATTTCGCTTGTGTTGTCTCACCTCATCCTACGAAATGTAAATGGAAAGCACCAAAAAATAATTAATCATACGATCACGATACGATCGTTATACACCTGGAATGTAGAAAACAATTTCTGGAATTCTAGTGAAGGGGATCCCCAAATCTGGTTCTTTTTTTCTAGATCACGGAGAATAAGAGCTATCGTCAAAATGTATTTGCTAACACTCGCTGTTGCGTAGTTGATGAAGGGCGAATAATCCTATGAAATGCTCTGGTGCAACGAAGAAGACTACTGTGGCATCTGGGAGAGCCCATCAAAATAGTATTATTTTTAATTAAATTATTATTACTTTTTATCTCCTTTCTTTCGAGCAGGTCAAATACGAGTTAGAGAAATATTAGAATGACAGAATCATTAAATTTCACCTAGATAAATCCCCATCTTCGGATAATCTCACGGACAGTGTTAAAAAAAAAAGCATTCGTCACATCGCCTTCTGAACTCTTCCTAACACAAGAACACGTAAATAAGCGAATGACTTGCGGTGTCCGCAATTGGAACTTAGAAACCCCCCCATGCAGTGGATAAATACAGGTGCAATAATGAACAAGCTCACCAAGAATATTTGGCTAATGACGGCCATATTGCGATCGACGCGTCGACTGGCCCGGAGTGCAGGCGGCCAGAGGTAGATGAACGCAGGGACCCATTGAAATGGTCCGACGAGGGCGGAGTCGCTCATCACTTGCATTAATCGATTCATGAAGTCCTGCATCTTCGGATCGTCGTGCGAGAATGTTTTGTCTGAGGGCCACGGACAGAAATGGCATGGCATCAACATTATTTTAAACGCATAATAACGGATCTGAGGACTTGATCTTCAAACCGGCAGCCATTTTCCAGATGATGTTGAGGACGGCAAGATTGAGACGAGGGCCAAAGTCTTGTGGCTTGTCCTTGTTCTCTTTGAAATATTGGCAGAGACCTAGTGCGGCGTCTTGAATCATGGAATCCAAGGCAGCCGTCTTCCCGAATCCGAAATCCCTCAGAACCCGCATGGTGAAGCGACGGTTGTCTTGCCACAGGCTGCCTTCCGATGATATGATGCCTAAACCATGTTGAGCGCAAAAAAAAATTAATTTAATGGATAAAAGCACAAAAAACCTGGAAAGAAACGCGATTTTCATCCATCTACGCTCTATCCCCAATCCCCTACTGCTCAATATGAGAGTATTTGTAATGTAACAAGAAAAAAATGAGACAAGGCCGACCGAGTGTGACCGGTTTTCGCATAGGCAAAGGTCTTGGGGGTCGGGATCTGTGCAGGCCTAACCTTGTCTCAACCGCCAGGTATTTTGGGGGGAAAGTAATATTTTAGTATAGTTCTGTTTGATATAATTACTTCTCTCATACAGCTTCAGATACAGGCAAGGTTTGTTTATGTCCTTAATCAGTGGTAGTATAACTTCAGTAAATGACCTTCAGATGGCAGAGCTGAGAGTTGAAGATAAGATAAGAATATTGGTGCTCGAAGTAGGCTGTTAAACCGTTGATTTTGTTCCGTGGGTGATACGACTCGGAAATGTTGACCTGACCCTGACCTTTGTAGTATTTACCTTTCATCCTTTTTTGTTAATCCTCGTCCTCACTCTTTTCATATCCTGGAATAAACAGGGTCCCACGCGAGCTTAAAAGCAGTCGCATGAAGTACTGACGTGGAGACTGTGCTTATAGGTACCGTTTTTTCCGAAAGAGAATTGTCGAAAGGCCACTGCATCAGGTCTGCCAGAGAATTCTGTCCGTCCGAAGAAATCGCGCACCAATTCCCAGTTGCTAAGCATGACGACCTGTTTGTGGAACAAGCCGAGGGTGTAGATGTCCCCGTACTTCTTCCTCATGGAGTCCAATATCTTGTGGAGGGGCCCTCCCAGGAGAAAGGGGATCGAGCCCAGGAATGGTACACCCCATGGACCTGAATTGGGCATGGAGAATAATTCTCCTTGTCGCATTGCTTAATGTGAATTTGTTTATGCTCGTTGAGAAAATTACCTGGTGGGAGTTTGGACCAAACGAGGAGTTTTTTCACGAAGTCGTGCAGGAGATACACGATGATGATGGACGCGAATATGAGAGTGACACTCATCCTTATCTGTCTCGCAGCACTTGGGACACTGAGGAAGTTTTTCCCCACGACCGAGCCTTTTCAATGTTTATTACTCCGTCGTCATCAGCTCTAATAAACAAACTGGCTTCGTGATCTATAACATGTTGGCTCGTAGAACCATGCTGTAGAGTGTGCTGAACCAAACCAGCTCAAGGAGGAGGATCACTTCAGTCTCGATGAGACATTCGGTATCACTGTTCTAGAAGCGACTTAATCCTAGGGTGAGAGGGTTGATTAGGTAACGCACACGGTGGAACGGTTTCTGCCTACTGCGTTTAAACTCATTATGCCATGCTCAAGTGCCTCAAAAATTCGCTAATTCGAACATGATAGGCCCCGAAGCTAGTGTCTGCACCAGCATCAACCTTTCTTCAACTCCTACCCGTGACAAAATTTAACCTCATCGTATTCCTCTGTGATAGTATAAACAGGAACGAAATTTGGCATGCTTCTTCCTCTAGCAACACAGAATAGCTCCAGTAAATTTGAAGCTCCCCGGGGTTGTGGAGAACACTGAATCTCGCTTTTGGAGGATGTGAATTTCATTCCGTTTTTTTTTTTTAATCTCTCCTGGAGGGTTTTCGAAGGAAATAGACCAACCATAAGAAAGACATTGACTCGTAAATGACGAAAAGTAGCCTTTTTGTTGTTTGCGAAGCACCATTTTGCCATGAAGGAAAATTATCTGTTGTTCAATTAGGCTTAGATTGCTGGAACCGGTACTGTCCCCCAATTTTGCTGGATGTCGTGCCGAAATATATGCCAGATTAGGACAACTTCAACCTTCGTATCGGCGTCTGGATCTTTTTTTTATGTTTGAGACATATTTGTGCTGAGTACATGAGACGAGCTGAGAATGAAGTGATGGTTAGCAGTTTTCCCCACCCTGTGTAAGTCATAAGTAAGGCCCACGATGCGGTCGGTTCTCGTTAAGGTAGCTTGTTTTCTTGAAATGGTAATACTGAAAGCTCACACACACAGCACGTGTACGGTAAGGAAACAAGGAAGAAACGGTGAAGCTACCAGTCCAAATATCACCCTCGAATCCTAGTTATATTACCATCCTGGGATGGTCATGTAACCATGCCCTGAGGGTGGTTTTTGGACTAGTAACTTCACCATTCCTTCTTTGCCTCACTGCTCTCTTCCTGTGCATGTGGTAACCTTACCATGCCTAGGGAATGCATCTATACAGGCGCCATTTGAAGGCAATATAACAAGGCAAGCCAAGTGGCCTTTGGAGTGGTACTTCACCGGCATCTTACTTTGCTATCTTACCAGAGGTCTGTCAGTTCTCAGCCTCATCCACAAACGAAACATGCAAATATTTTATTTTATTATCAACATTTAATGTAATGAAAATCATGCTCAAAACCAGTACCAGAATATTTCATGATCGTTTCCAGTGGGTCATTGAGCATGATTTTCATTGCATTAAATATTGATAATAAAATATGTGTGCGCTTCTTTTATATTGAGGTTGAGAACTTATTCATGGACCTGGTACCTTCAAAAGATTCTAATACTGCTTCAAACCCATACTTCTTAACAGGAACATACTTTGCCAAGCACAGTAACTGAATCATATGAAGTTTTGATCTCATCCTTGCAGGCAAGTTTCCCAGAAGGAAATAGAATCCTGCAAGCTTCATGTGCAGTGTCCTTGTTCCAATTGGATTAGCAATTTGGAAGTCATCATAATACAGCATGATCTGAAGGGTCCTTGAATCACATGAATCATCGTCCCAAATTGTCCCATCCCAGATATCATGGAGAAATCCATCATTACATTGATGTTCCTTCAAAACCTCTGCCAAGATGTTCTGATGTCAAAGAAGGCTAAGAAGTGTCTTTCCCAAAGGAATGTACAGAATTGTATCACTCCTTGGTTGGGCTAGGCAAGATGGAACATCTTCCATTTCATGCCATGGGACCTGTTGGAGGCAATACTCTTCAGGAATTTCATGCCAAGGGACCTGTTGGAGGCAATACTCTTCAGGCTTTACATATTTGCATTCAAAATATTGGCTTTCTGATAAGAATCTTTCAGTCTTCTTTGAGTCAGAGAATATATCCAATACTTCTTCAAGTTCTTCCTGAATATCTGACAAGCTCTGCTGGAATGTAGACATATCCGAGAGGGGGGGCACAAGCATCATAATGCGCTGGACTAATGACGAGTATATGTCCTGAATTTCTTGACAGACAGCTCCCATAGCCTGATTGGTTAAATGGTGTTGATCCTGAAGTTTCAATAAACCTGCAACTATTTCATCTTTATGTGTGGGACTGCACTTTTTTAAACATGGTGGATTGCTATCCAATTCATCAAGGGAATCTGGTAAATTTCCTTCAATCATCTCAGAAAGTCCCTCCACATGACTCAAGACCCCACAGTCCATGTAACTTTTCTCATCTGTATCTTTATCCAAATGTGATCCAACTTCTATTGTGAAAGATGAAATGTGATGCATAGATGATGTTGATGATGATTGAGTAGCTTTTTCAATAGTCATCTCAGGTTTATGATCTATCTTCAAATGCCTCTTCAGACTCCTTAGGTTGGTGTATTGTTTCTCACAGTTTTCAATGCCACATTTAACTGAATCAAGTTCATGTTTATGTTCTTCTCCAAGATGCTTCAAATACTTAGCCACAGGCATCAAATGCACTGAGCACATGCTACACTTGTAGACAACATTGCATTGGGGCTCATGGATATATTTTGCCATTAATTAAATTTTTGGAGGAGGAGACACGGTTCAAGAAAGTAAGTAAAAATATAAAGAATTCAATTCTAAAAAAGAAAAAGTCACAATCATCAATTCTTTTTATAGGAGTGCCAATTCATGATGCCTTTTCTGTCAATCTTTTCCAAACCTGCCTGGTACCCCATGTGAAGACTGGTCCAATATCTCTTAAATGACACTTTCTCATCATGCATGCCTTATGCAAGCTCAGAATTCCTCCATGTTAACATATTCAATCATAATGGCATCTCCAAGAATAGTCCATACATGCTCAATTGAGAATACAGCATGGGTTTAAAGAGATGAATGTGCTGTCACATGAAAAAAACTATTGAATGAAAATGACCATGGAATCTAAGCCCTCAGAGCTTGGAGGTATATTTTGCAGGATCCTTTTATATATCCCCAATTGAAAACCTGCTGAGCATTCTTGAAGAAACTTCTTACAGTAATCCAGAACTCACCACCATAGAGGAACAGAGTTGAAGCAGAGACATGATGAGCAAACATCACTTCATCATTGGGCAGACTCTAAAATTGAAAACCTGCTGAGCATTCTTGAAGAAACTTCTTACAGTAATCCAGAACTCACCACCATAGAGGAACAGAGTTGGAGGAGAGACATGATGAGCAAACATCCCTTCATCATTGGGCAGACTCTATTATTGGTTACAAAATAAATTCATGAGAATATACCAAAGAAGATGCCAATTCAAAATAACTCCTCTGCAAATCTCAAAAGCACATGTGGATTTCCTTTCATGAAAGGTCTCCTATTATTAATATAATTCTAAGATATTTGCAACTGATATGAATTCCAGAACATTTGCCATGTATATGAAAGTATTCATTCAAGAAATTAATATAAATTTATTGGGGGAATACATTCTCAAATCTGCATGCCCAAGAGAATGCTGGTAAAACCTGTTGAAAATGAATGCTAGTGAGTAATGAACATTTATCAGAGGTTCAAGATTGCCTTGGCATCAGCATAGAGGCCTAATCAGTGGATATCAGCAATATTTGTCATGTTTCCCCACAATTCAATAAACCATACTTCAGTTTTTCCTTGCATGGGTCTCTACTGATTACAAATCAAGCAGCATTATGCTTACTGCAAAGTTAGAAGGAATTTTATTTAGTTTCCAGGCCTTGCAAGCCAGGCTAAATGATGTTCATGAACTAAATCACATGCCCAATCCAGACCTAAGGGAACTAGTAATGAAAAGCATATGTGCTTGGTCCATGAAGGCTATAGGATAGGCAACCTGGAATTCCTTCCACCATACTGGGTCATCAATCATCTACTATACTGCCCTCTAAAGTTCAACACTTCTTTGGGAGTGAAATTCTTGCCACTATAGCATCATCTGTGAACATTTTTATTTCCTCAGACAGCTTAATCTGTCACTTCTGCAAAGCAACCACTCCTGTCACGATCCACTTTTGTCCAAAACTTGACTCTGAATCTGTCCTGTCCAATTTTTCAGTATGGAACAATTAAAATTGTCTCTTGTATGCCATGTGGACAACATGTTTCTCTATGACCCTTGACTAACGTTAGGTCTAAGCTTAAAGGGTCAGGCCTAGGCCTACCTTCATTCGTTCAAACGAAACTCAGTCCTCGACTTACTCAATTAGGCCTAAGGATGAATCCTTAGACTTCCAAACACTTACACGATGTGTCAAGTTAGGTCAATCGCAGACCAACGCAGTCTCTCACGATCCATTTCAAAGGACGATTAAACCGATAAGAGGCCTGTATCGAGTTTCATGACCAATATCAGGGCGGAAGTGGAACATAAGGCATATCTAAAGTTCCCCGAATCATCTCGACTAGTTCAGGAGAAAGAATGCATCTAGCAAGCATGACATACACCACGCCGGGCGCCATCATTAATTCAGGGATGTCCGGATAAGATATATCCATATCCCAAGACAACAATCGCCACTGCTTAGCATCGTTTCAATCTCAGCTCATTTCATGAAATCAGCACTAAAATAGCTCATACATTAAAAAGGAGAATATTCAGATAAGAGACTCAGGATTCATGGCTAAGAAGTCATGAAATTGAAGTAATTCTGGTATGATATCCGGCAACACTGGGGACAGGACTGGAGCCATCGCTTTAAGCATAAATAAATGACAGCTATTTTCATTTTTATGGCGAATTGGTGCACCACAAACAGCAAAAAGCCACTTTCTGGAACCTACAAGTCAATATCTTTCTTTTTGTTCTCTTTCCTTCGAAATCTCCTCAGGAATTACTACCCAAAGGGGTAGGTAAAAACCAGAGTGAAATTCACATCTTTGCAAAATAACGTTTATCCACAATCTCGGGGGTTGAAGATTCAAATTTTCTGTAGCGGTTCTGTTTCGAGAGAGGAAAAATGAAGCAAAATTTGGGTGCTTTTCATTTTTAGAGAAGAGTGCGAGAAGGTTGACATTTTCTACGTGAAGGGGTTGA